TAACCTCATGTTTGACTGTTCCTTCGTCAAACACCCGGCATAAGGAGTGACCGAAAGTCACGGAACTTCGAAAGAGATAAAAACCGAGGTAACAGTGTCACTGTAGGCATTGGCCCGATAAAGAACCCTCACTGCTTAATGACCCTAGGTGCCGAAATAAGGGTTAAATTTGAAACCCTTCACCGTGGTGATATTTCATATGAGTAAAAAAAAATCATGTATGGGACGAAAAGCAACAATCATATACTTATTATTACTTATCTGTTTTAATATTTTGCAGTAACGACTGTGCTCTATGCGTAAATCAAGATTGATGGTGCGAAATTTAGGTATTTTCCCGGAAAACTTCGAACCATGGTGAGTTTTAGAATTTATTTTTTTTATCCTGGGCACAAAAACACATTAAATTTGACAATTTGTACCCTTTGTCAGTATAAATAATGTTGAAAGCTAAACTTGAATTCCTTATACCTCCTTTTGCTTCTAAAAGAGAAGTTTGTCCCTTTCGGTGAAACCAGAGGGGACTATAGGTTTCCTCAGCTCTGTCTGTCTATTTGTCCAGCTGTCTGTCTATCTGCTATCCGTCCATCTGTTTTTACCAGAGATACACTGTGAGGTTAACTTAACGCATTTTCCAGTATTCTTGGGTTATTTCTGGATTGTGGGGTTAACCCCTCATTAACAGGGTTTATTTATGCTTGATATGACTGTGCTAGGGTAAAATAAATAAATATAGACTTAACCCAATAAGGATTTCCAGAAATGTTATGGAGTTGTCTATATTATGTATGGACTTGAGGAATCTCATACTGAAATTCAACCCAACTCGGTAATAAAATTATAATCATAAAACTGCAGTATGAGAGAATGTACAGAAAATGATTTGGACATATGCACCCCACAATGGACTTAACTACCAAAAATAACCCCTTACTGCTATCTTTTGCACAAGGTATCTCTCGTGTGTTTAGCTGTCTGTCAGTCTGCCCAACTTGGTTTCCGCACTTTTTTCTAAACGTTTGCAGATATTGATCTGATTTTTGGTATTTGAGTGTATTTTGATGAGCGAAAGATCGAGGTTGCATGTTGTTCCGCTCAATGATTTTTTGACTTAATTATGGCATTTTCAATTTTTAAAGGGAACCAGATTACACTTGCCGATAGGAGTCTTGTATTGCTAATGCAATACTCTAAAAATGCTTAAAGCTTGTTTGTTATTGCTCTCTCTCTCTCTCTCTTATTTTTATGACCTCTCCATCTTATAGTATTATTTGGATTATTTATGAAATAAAAATTAAATTTATTTATTTATTTATTTTCATCTTTCAGGTTTAATCTTCAAAGATGCTATAAAGTAGGCAAAACATGCATTCCTTAGAACACTCTTGTTAATTAACATCATTGCTTATTAATGAAATAACTTTCTCAAACTGAAGTTTCGAGAAATTTACATCTTAAATGATGGATTGTGTCAAGAATAACATTGATGATAAAGCAAGGGTTTATAACATTTCAATAGCCCAATCATTTTCGCTCTTTATTGAAAGTTTAACAATGTCCTTACTTAAGCCAACCTTTTCAAAGCTTTTTTGTTTGTTTATTCAGAAAAAGGACACAAAGAAAACATTACAATTGACACATGAAATCTAGCATACTTAGTGATTATAAAATCTAAATAAAATTATTTGGTTATAAAACAATATTACCAATTATAAAAAGAAAAAAATTATGAAAATGTATTAAATATATAAATGAACACATAATATATGCATGTATACACTTGTAAAGCCATTTTTCAGAGGATGACCCATGAGCGCCATAGTAGGATTATTTCTTAAAGTGACTTCATAAATAGTTATTACATGTAAGCACTAGAATTTAGCAATTTTTTTTTGGCAATCATGGACAATTATATTTCATAGTAGATTTTGGCGGAATCTAAGATCAGTAGATTATGTAATTTTCAGGAATCATTAAGTACTAAGTCAAAGGTGATGCATAAAGCTGTAATAAACTAATGAAGCCCACCACACATTTGAAATAAATTTCTTTCAAAAATAGATGTGCATGAACTAGTACACTTGTAGTTCTTTCTTCAAAAAAGTAAAAACATGTTCTGAGAATATGGAAGTGTTCAACTGCCTAACGTGAGCAGAATTCATATGTTATGTTATTTCATCATTAAATTTGCTGATACTTTGAGATATAGTGTAAAGTTTTCCCAATCATGACAAAGACCACACGGTTGATATAACTGGTTGACAGGGGATGTTTAAATATCCATGGCACCTAATTTCACATATGATATTTTTAGAGTTTTTTTTTACTCTGAACCCGATTTGTATTGCTTCCATGGATCTTTGAGCTTGATTTCTGTTTTTTTTTCTTTCCATATTTCATTTTACATTATGTGTTGATGCGTTAATATTATCTGCTGATACTTTGACATTGAATACTGATACTTTGACATCAAATACTGATACTTCAATGTTATATGCCGATGCTTTAACAGTTTATGTTAATACTTTGACATTATATGATCATACTTACATTATATGTTTTAAATATACTTGCATGTTAAATGTTAAAGTCTGATTAATTTAGACGCATTTAAAAAAATTGTAATGTTACGCTCATCATTAGCAATACACTTAAAAACGAGTATTACAACGATATATTGTCATATGCGTGTAAATTATGCGCGTACGGTTCGCCGTAGAATTCTCAGTTGTGCGTTTAAAAAAAGCCGAAAAAACGACGTCATTCAAAACTTGAGACCGATGTGGCAAACAAACGTCTGACGAAAATTGCTAGAAAGTGCAGAAATAAAATAACGTAAGACAATGAAGGACTCACTCAGTATCAAGCTAACAATAAAGAGGTCGTTAAATCTTTCTCAATGCTTTTTACTTGAGAAAAACAGAAGCGGGAAATATGAAAGCTAGCTAAACGTGTACGTCTTCGATTTTTTGCTGACATTCTAAATCAGTAATACATTCTGTCTAATAAAAAAATAGTGCATGTTTTTTTAGGTTAACAGTTGATAGTGACATCCCTCGGTTACCGATTGTGTCAACCTCCGCTGACGCGTCGGTTGATAAAGGTTTTCCTTTGGGTGTCAATTTCAATTGTTACCCAATAAAACATGAACTATCTATAAACTGATATTTACGAATGTAAATATTATATTATGCTACATTAATATTATATGATGGTCTTCTTTACGTGATGTTTTAAAGGAAAATATGATGATACATCAAAAATTAAAAAAAAAAAAATAAAAAAAATAAATAAATAAAAAAAAACATCAACAGCTTTTTACAGGTCTACACCCTACCATATAAACAAAGGGAAAAAGAATGAATACAAATGCAAGAATCAATGTTTGTATGCAGAAACGGAACAATCTGTTAATCATGAAAATATAGGAAATCTTAACAATAGTGCTATAAAAAGTTAGGGTCATTGTCATATTTGCTGTTTTGTTTTGTTCGTTTTGTTGTTTTTTTTTTTAGATTAGAAATCACAAAGCATGAAAACTAGCTTCCATTTTGGATTCCTCTTAGGGGGCATTTTCTGACTAGTAACGAGAATTTCTCGCCCAGTCCCGCTTTTTCGCAGACAACAGGAGCTGTCATTTTCAAAATGAAACCAAATCAGGTTGAATCTTTCAGATTATTATGTGAAATATGTTTATTTGTTGATCAAAAGGGATTAGTACATTTCAGGCCTATAGAAAGCTGTCTAGTTAAGGGGATGTGTAAATCAAACAGAAGTTCTTTGACCAATTAAAACAAATCCACTATTAAGGATTGATTGATTGATTGTATGTTGTTTTATGTCCCATTCGAGAATTTTTCACTCATATAGAGACGTCACCATATACCGGTGAAGGGCTTCAAATTTTAACCTTTACTCGGCACTCAGGGCCATTGAGCAGTGAGGGATCTTTATCGTGCGAACGCCTACCGTGACATGGGGCCTCGGTTTTTAAGGTCTCATCCGAAGGACCCACAGCTTTCACTTCAAAGTGCAGAGCGCATGGCGAAGGAACAGTTGCTACCCATTTTTTATCGACTTAGGTCAGTCGCGGCCGAGTTTCGAGCTCACGACCTCCTGATCACGAAGCGAAGGCTCTACCGACTGAGCTACCGTGAACGGTCACTATACGTTCTATTTCCATTAGTGAACTCTTCAAAATTAGAGGCGCGTTTGGTCGTCTGACTGGGACGGCATGGCGTTGCGAATAATACAAAACATGCCAATCTCAATCCAATTTTAAATGTTAAGTGTATTTATCATTCCAGTTAAAGAATAGAAGAACTAAAAGACATATGTAAGAGAGCGAGAACCCTAAATTTATCATCCATTAATAAAAAATACGAAATTTCCAAGGCATGTGTATTGTATTTGGGATGTACCATACGATAAATAGATACATACGATCAACAATAGATATAAATTGATATCGTTGTCATTCCTACTCTTGATGTATATAAAGTCCACAACAATAAAATATTTCGTTTGCATTTTCTTAGGAATTGTTCATCGACATACAACATATTGTTTACATGTTTATGTTACGTTTGTCCCAGAAATCCCGCGAGATTTGTACATTTTCCGACTTTTTCACAAAAGAGCGCACTAAGAAGTATAACTCTTCCATAGTGGAAATAGAACGTATTAAGGAAGCACAATATTACTTTTGTTTTCAATTGCATACTTAAGTGAAATATACACACTTTGCAAACGTTGTGTCCTTTTGAGGGGTCAAATGTACAGTTAATTTATTCATTCATGAAAATACAACGGTAGTTTTCTGTAAAATAACATATTTTGAAGATACATATAAACGTCATATCTAGATACACTTTTCCGACCGGGGAGACCTGTTCTGCTGAAAAATGCCAGAAAACACATAAATACGTCAAACAACTTGCAATATTCAACTGATTTAATTTTATTTCAATAAATCTATGAGAGCTTTCGAGTTTCAATGTCTGAGAAAAGCCCGACCTCGGCGAAAAATTTTCATTACCAGTCCGAAAGTGCCTCTAGGTAGCTGCAATAATGTAGCCCTCTCCGATTTTTTTTTTCTTTTTTTTTTTGAAAGAGAGCTTCAACTCCTTAGGATCTCCAAAATGATGCAAGTGCGGAAGTGATTCTCTCCCGCTCTTTTTGTGACTCAGATCATCCGTAAATGAATATTTTATTAACATTACTTACCTTAACTCAAAAAATGTAGTTATGTAGACATAAATTCATCCAAAAATATACAGAATAATCCATAATAAATATATATTTATTTTTTGTGCATGTCAACCTCACAACTTGAATTAATCCGCCATGTTTACTTACCTTGATCGGTTTTATTTTGGGACAGCCAATGAGAACTTGGGATTTAGTATTCAAAAAAATATATATTTGCATCATTACGAAGTTGCCCTCTCCTGAAAACATCAGATAAAAAATATCGGAGAGGGCTACATTATTGCAGCTAGTCTCTAAGCAGAACCCAACTTAAAACCAAAGATCATGCTTCGTTACGATTATTGTTTTAAAAAAATATCAGTTACGCTAGGGTTTGCCTATGATCGTATTCTTACTCGTCAGTTACAAGCGTTTTAAGCAATTTTCGTATCATAGTCCCGAAGTCTGACCTACTTTTAAAGCACCATATCATAATAGTATCATCATATAATGTTAAAGTATCAGTATATTATATTAACATATCAGCAAATAATGTCAAAGTATCAGCATATAATGTTGAAGTATCAACATATAATGTGAAAGTATCAGCATATAAATAATGTTAAAATATCAGCATATAATGTTGGAGTATCAGCATATAACATCAGAGTATCAGCATATAATGTTAAAGTTTCAGCATATAATGATGAAATATCATCACATGAACGATATTTACATATTAAGGCTGTTGAGGCGTTCCACATGAAAATATGACTTTATTATCTTTTATGAAAAGGGGCAGACAAAGAAAGCTTATTTTAAATAAAATCAAATATGGTTGTATAGTCAGTGATTATTGATATATAGGAACACTTTTGCAAATATGATAATTTAAAACTTTTTACGTATCCTTTTCTCAAGTTCACATTAAAAACTTTATAGAGAAAAAAAAATGCCCAATTCGCACAGCATAACTTGACAAATAAATTTTCAGAAGTTTTACGATTTCCGAATATTAGAAATTATAGAAACTATTCAAATACGCAATCATTTCTAGATAAAAGAAGAAGATTGTTCATTTGAGAAGTCAGTTTTCTATTTTTTGACCGGTTTCTTGTGTTTCTTGTGTAGCTTCCTATGGTATTTCTAGGATCATAAAACCCCCAGACACCATAGCTACTAGCATCGCCAGAATGCAGAAAGCAAAAGCAAAGTGATATTCATATCTGTATAATTTCTTGTTATTGACGTCGTTTGCAAACAGTCCAATTGAAACTATAATGGAGGCAGCTGCAATAAATAAAATAAAGACATTAATTTCAAGTTATGGTTACATTTCTTAGTAGCTGCAGATCTGTTGCTCTCTGAGAAAAATATAATGACAGACCGGAGAGCTACAGTGCCACCGATTAAAATTGCGTGTATTTATGGCGCGCAAACAGCGTGCTGTTTATCGATTTATTTTTTACGTGTTTTCAAACTGCAATCTCAACATATTACTGACAGTATGTTCCTAACATATTCTTTAACAATTTCCACAACAAAACTTCCTGATAACATGTGTTAATAGCCCTCCCGGGCTTGAAATTAAGACAATCGATAATTTTGCTTATTTATACTGCCATTTGTACTGCAATTTTGGATTGCAAGATAATTCCGTCCAACGCACTTCGTGCATACATGTATGTCATCCACGAGAGTTGCAAATAGAGGTCTAAGAATTTTTATCTTAAAATCTAGCTTATGTGCAACTGAGGTAAAATCTTGGAGAAATGAATCCAGAACCGAGCACAACTTTTTTTTGGGCGATAAACTTGCAATTTGTTCCATCCTATGGTTGGCAATGTAGCTCTCTGGTCTTTAATTCAATTTTTAGACCAGCGAGCTACAGGTATGCAGCTAAATTCTTAGTGACAGTTTTCAGATCCTTTATACAGGATAAATATTAAGAAAACAGATATTTAAAACAATGGTCCATTCTCGTTAGCTTTTTTTTTTTTAAAGATTTATTCGTTTTAGAAAAAAACCTCTTTCAACGACAACACTGAAAATAAATTATATTCATTTGGCTTCGCACTCGAGAAAATGACAAACTCCATACAATTGAATCGAGAGGGAAATAAAAGAGATTCTTAATTTTTACTACGTAGATTTTTGATGATTTTACTAGTAATCAATGAATATTGTCTTTTCATGGATCTTGTATCAAGTGATAAGTGAATCCTATTTTCAAATTTGTAATAAATTTTTGAGAAACCAGTATTCTATTTAAGTCCTGGGAATACGTCATTTATTGATCATTTATTACAATATTATAAAATATAATTGGTTTCAATATCATGGTATTTTTGAATACATATTACATACCTCCAACAAAAGCTGAAATACTGGCAACAATAAGTACTGGTTTCACATGTTTAAGAAAACATAGCTTTAAGATTGTCAACACTGAAGCAAACACGAGTGCAGAAAACCCCAGAATACTCATAGCTTGAGCAAAGCGCAACTGGTGTTTTGAGATATCTGCAAATAAAATTTTAATCTTTGATTATATGTTTAGGTAAAATATAGATAAATATTACGAAGAAATATAATTTTATATGTAACTTAAAAATGGTATAACATTCAAGTGTTTTCTCACCAAAATTTTTTAAGAAATCACCAGTATCTCGACATTTACATGTTTTCCACAAACCAGCATATCTTGGTGAAGAAGAACTTTCTAAATCTATTGAATTTTCATCAGAAATCCAATATGGAGAGGCTAAACCAATCAGCTGAAGGATGGATGCCCAAATTAATATTACCAATGCAATGAACAAAACTTTAGAACCTTCCATATTCCTCCTCTAAAAAACAAAAATAAATAAAAATATTATGCATTTCATTAAAAAAAATTACATCTAACATTACAGTGGTAATCCAAATTCTAAATCCATTTTTTCAAAATTAAAGTTCAGTTTTAAATGTTTTAATATTCCCAACAATCAATATGAATTTGAAAAATTATAATTTCTATACTGTATATCTAAACTTCATAAAAATTCTTACAAAGATATATAGTGGGTTCTAATAAATATTCTACCAAGTCTCTTTCTTCACTCTAACTAAAATATTAACAGAAGAGACGGAGAAATTTAAGTAGCACATTACAACAATGTTTTCGAGAAGTTGTTTAAATCAGATGTGAATACTAATAAAAATTCGGGTCAAGCAAATACTCTTCTTCTAAGTAGCCCCTATCCTTACTCCTTAAAAATATTCACTGTTGTTGAGGAGAAACTTCAGACGTACTGTGCTACAGCACATTCTAAAAGCGGTGTAAATCAGATGTTGATTCTCAAAAACTCCAAAGAACTGTTAGAAAATTTTTAAATCACCAAATACTAAAAAGTCAGTTATATCGAAAAATTCGACTTTTCTACACTTAATACAATCATTCATCATGATAAATTAAAAACTAGGCTTTTTGATACTCATTCTTAATATAAAAGGAAAAGTAGAAAGGTAATCGGAAAAATTCCTATTTTATGGTCATCAAAAAAAAATTGCTTTGTTAAATATTATTTAGATTCTACACACAAGTACTTTGGAATTGATATTAAAGGAATGCTGGAGTTCCTCATTGACAACATTTTTCGATTCGATTTCAATTCTGTATACCCCAGTGAACTTGAAAGAAAAGACACCACAGGGTCTGCCACATCGGTTTTATATTTGGATGTTTTACTGACTGTAGACGATAAGGGACAGCCAACAACTACATTGTATGAAAAACGAAATGAAGTAAACTTTTCAATTCTCAACTTTCCTTATCTATATAGTAATATCCCGCTATCACCTGCATATGATGATCACATCTCCCAACTTATTCGATACTCAAGAAAATGTCCGCATTTCGTAAATTCTATGGTCGTAATTATGACTATGTTAGCAAATATGATATTTCATTGGGTCGTAATTTGGCTGACTTATTTCATACCAATTATTAGGACTTTTGTTTTATACTGAATTTGACTACGTAAAGCTCCGACTACCTGATAAACACATAGGGCTCACGGTAATTGTTCACGGGGGATGCTTACTCCTCCTATGCATCTGATCACACCGCATGCGCAACAGCAATGAATATCGTCAATAAATCATAAATAATTACAATTCACAGGATGAAAATGTATAACGCTACTTCATGATTAGGCTAAACACTCAATACCCAGTGAATGTGCTAAATTTCACTCTGGGGAATTTTTCACAAATATAGAGACGCCACCACTTGCCGATGGAGAGCTGCAAAGTTGTACCTGTACTCGGCACTCAGGGCCATTGAGCAGTGAATGATCTCTTTCGTGCCAACACCTACTGCGATTCGGGACCTCGGTTTATACGGTCTCATCTAAAGGACCAGTCTTCACGTCCCTTAGTAGATTCGAACCTGCGACGTAAAAGAGTGTTAGTAAAACATTTACTGGAACCCTCTATATATCTTTGTAATGATTTTGATGAAGTTTATGTATCCAGTATAGGTATGGTAATTTAAATTCATTTTGATTGTTGGGAATATTAAAAAAAATTTATCTGACATAATATTATGATTTTAAAGAATTCCCCCTTTACAAAGGGAGCAATGAGTATAAGTAGGATAACCATTTGTAGAATTAAATGCCAGTTTTTGTTGTTTTTTTTTTTTTTGTTTTGTTTTGTTTTGTTTTGTTTTGGTTTTTTTGTTTGTTTTTGTTTTGTTTTTGTTTTTTGTTTTTGTTTTTTTTTTCTTTGTTTTTGTTTTTTTTTTCCTTGGTTTTTTTGTTGTTTTGTTTTTTGGGTTTTTTTAATGTTCTTTTTTTTTTTTTTTTTTTTTTTTTTTGTGTGATTTTTTTTAAATACAGTTAAAAGCCTTACAAAAACGATAATATTGTTACCCGCTTTATCAGTGGGGACCAGTGTATACTGATCGTGTAATCTATGTAATTAATTTTTCACTTCTGATTTATTGAACACATAGGAATTGATGGTTTTCATATTGCCCCTCAATCGCTTAATGCGAGATTGTAATATTATTAAACATTTGATATTTTAAATCAATTCTGACAAAGTGTCAAAGTCTTTCTTCATGTTTGGCCCATTACCTTGCTAATCTTCCACAGAATTCATAATATTTGTGAAAATTATGACCCAAATGGAAAAGATCGGAGTTACCTAAATTTTAGCCCTTTTGAATGTGATTTAAGGTCCTCATTATTTACTATATTTACGACATCAGTAATGAGGTGTCCAGCAGGACTATAGTTGTAGGGTAAGAAAAACATGAACAGATTTTAAGCCTGATTCAGATATTCGATATCTACGAGGGTTGTTCGGAAAGTTCGTGGACTATGCCAATTATCATATGTAAAAAATACTTATTTTGTTTAAATGTGAATCTTCTTTCCATGTAATTTAATGGAATTCATGTTATTTAATTTAAAAATCAACACGTTTTGTACCCACGGTGCAAACTCAACAACACTGTAACGTCAAAAACATACCGACATGAGGTTCTCAAAAATACTATCCCTATACATTTCACACAGTATTGCACAATACCAGTGACCTCATTAAAAACGTTTCTCTATCACTTGAAATCTATTTTGCTAACAATTGTTCCAGTAGCATCATTTTGTTTGTCAATGTTATATTTTGTTCACTGCATAAGTGTGCTTTCACAAGATCAGAATTTGAGAAGCACCAAACTCTTAGCATGACGTTACTAACATTTCAATGTTTTTGATAAGATTTTAACAGATAATTCATTTTCTCACAGATCACCATCGTCTAAGCAGAGTAATCTATCATTCAAATACCGCTTGCACCATGTACACACACATGCATGGCTCGCTTTTGACATATTTCCTACTTCCTCCGGCTTTTTCGGAGTTTTTTCTGGTGTTTTCCAGAGTACAACACAAAATTGTATAGTTAACTGCTGCTCCGTGACGTTCAACGACGTCATCTTTTTTGCCTTTTTCAATGAGGTCTACCTATCTTCTGGAATGAAATATATGGAGATAACGAACAGTATTCAAGCTCAAAAGTCCATTATACAATACAAAATAGGAGCAGAGCAAACACGGACCTCCAAACATCAGAGGTGGGATCAGGTGCCATGGAGGAGTGAGCATCCCCTGCCGACCGGTCACACCCGCCGTGTGCTCCTTGTCATGATCGGGAAATAACGGAAAAATCCGTCGACAATTCAGTGTGTAAATAATGGCCTAACAATTAGTATAAAAAAGGTCAGTCAGCATTTGACTCAATGATAAATTGTATTTGCTGACAAGGTCATTGTATCGACCATAGAACTTATGAAATGATGACTTTAAACGAGACAGCTGATATTCTTGTTTCATCAACTTATTTGTCAATAATTTACCTCGTTTTAGAAATTGTACGTACGTAGAGCATGCTCTTGCGTATCGAATCAACTGAGAGATATATACCCCGTATGCAGGTGATGAAGGTATATTGCTGCATAAGTAAGGGAAGTTGACGATTGAAAAGTTAAAGTCATCACGTTTATCATAAAGCTTGGTTGATAGATTACCATTAACGTCTTTTTCAAGTAAAATATCCAAATATAAAACAGATGTGTCAGACTCTGTGGTATCTTTTATCTCAAGTTCACCAGGATATATCGTATCGACATAAGAATGAAAATAGCCATTGTTAATTGACAATACGTCGTCGATATATCTAAATGTCGAGTTGAACGCCACAGCAAGTGTTTTCTTCTTTCCACGTACAAGATTTTGGACAAATTCTGCTTCATATGAATACAAAAAAAAGGTCTGCTAATAACGGGGCGCAATTGGTACCCATAGGTATTCCAATTGGAACTGATTTCTTTTCAACGAAGCAAAATATTAAGTCATAATTTGGAATCAGAAACGATGAAGCAATTCTTAATTTGAACGTGTAGAATTTTTCCGGGTTTTTTTCGGTGTCATTTTACAGAAGATATGACTTTAGACATTATTTAGTGTCTTGATTGTAAATTACAAAATTTTGACCTGCTCCGTGATCCGATTTTTGCATTTTTAAAGTCTAGATCCGTTTGAAATAAACCACGATATTTTAAATTTTTTAATACATATCATTTGAATTTACTGTTGAAATATTTCTTCCAAATTTGAATATAATTTGACGTTAAGCAAAGAAAGTTATGATGGTAGTCCACGAACTTTCCGAACAACCCTCGTAGGTCCTAAAAAGTTTTCTTTTAATAAAAAGTTGGAAGCAATATTCGATGTATATTTGTAAGAAATACAAGTGTAGACTTCAATTGAAATATGATAGAATACAGGACTAGACCCTTTTGTGATTAAGAATGTTACTTATATTAACCGCGTCCATTCATTTGTTAGCAAATTGAAGGTTAAGGAAAAAAGGGTTGTTTTAGAATTTTTTTCTTCTGACCTAAGACGATTAAAAATAGGCAGCAACTATTCCTTCGCTAAGCACTCGCCACATTGAAAAGAATGTTGCGGGTCCATCGGATGAGACCTTAAAAACCGAAGCCCGACGCACGGCAGGAGTTGGCACGAAAAAGATTCCTCACTGCTCAATGGCCCTGAGTGCCGATTGAGGGTCAAAAATTGAAGCCCTTCCGGTTGCACAACAGTATTAAATTTTGCTATATATTCTTACCAAAAATGCGCAACTTTGAGTAGGTGGTATTAATTGAATACAAACTTTTGAGAATTTTCCTTTTCAGATTTTGTGAAACAATTCTTTATAAAGATTTTAGTACCAAAAAATACATAGCCATCCAGCAAAGCACGCAAGTTGGTTTCGGTCGAAGTCGAGCAGGTGCTTGAAAATCAAGTCCAGGACCTAATCACTCCCCACTCAAATACAGTATATAGAAAATTCAGCACGCCCGGCCTGAATTATAATGAATCTAGTCAATACAGAAAGTTTACATATTGTTTTTCATCTCAAAAAAAAAAATTCAGCTCCAGTCTCTTGTTAAAATGCCCGAATCGGAAGGGGAAGATTCGGGAATTATTTTGCGTCAGCCATGATTTGACGTGAACCTCAAGTGAAATACTGTTATGACACCTTCAGCGGTATATGGTGACGTCTCTATATTAGTGAAAAAGTCTTGAACGGGGCGAAAAACAACATAAAATCAATCAATCCTAGTCGAAAAGAAGAAAAGGTCAGTTTCAATTTAAATCATTTTATAAATTAGTTTGATGTAAGGTGAGGTTTTTTAAATACAATAAAATGGATAAAGTTAAAGTATTTTTCATCTTAAAATTCTTTTTATAATATCGCCCTCTTTTTGGCCACAAAGAGGTTACTTAATGCAATTTCCTTTAAGCTATAAAACAATCTGGGATGGTAGTTAAAAGGAAATCAGTATATATCTTCTGAAAAGGGATAGGGATGAGGTCAAACACAGCTTATGTTGATTTATTGAAGTCCTTTAAAATACTTAATCTATCTAAAAATTGATACATCTGAGACGTATTGTGCATTTAATTGCTTGAGTAAACCGCTTTCTTTTCCCATCTTCAGAGTTTATATATTTCACTAGAAGTGTGTTATAAATCTGCTTTGTATTCATATTATAAATAAATTATTGACTGAACAACTCGGACAGAATAAGGCTATATAAACGCTCATCATAAATTTATTAAACTCCCAATATATAGTAAGTAATTTAAATCATGTTTTTATAACAATATATACTCCAGCTGATGAATGCATTTTTAAAATGTATGATTGGCTTTTTTAAAAAAAAAAATCTGATCAAAATGGGACGTTTTTGTCAAATTAAACAAAAAATTGAAATAGTTTAACTTTTTCATATTATTTAAAAAAAAACATATATATACAATGATTGTTTATTGTATAATCTTATATTTGCAAGCATATTTACATTACATTTGACTATGACAAGTCAACTCTATAAGGCAACCACATTACAGCGAATAAAACAAACATTCCCTTTTATAAATTTGGACTTTTTATGCTCGGAATCTAAAAAAAAAAATAAAATAAACGCACACAGCAAAATAAAAAATAAGAAGTTATATTTACGAAACTTAACAAAGGAACATGCCAAAAAGAGTACTCACCTAACTGAATTCTTGACAAAAGTCCGTTTATTTTTATATGCTTTTCCTTAAAACCTCGGTGGCTAAATTCAAGTTAATGAATAGAAGCAAATGTATTATTATAGGTTGTCAGTAGTATTACGAGTCACAGGAAAGAGGCACTTGAATTTACAGTGGTCTGCGGGTTTGTGTAAGCCAAACATGAAAAAGAAATAACGATGTTTTATAACGTTTGTTTCAATCTAACTTGCGAAATGGTGCTCATAAAGGACTTATCGCATGCTTAAAAAAAGTGATTTTACCAAAAATATTTCTACAACCTTTCTTATTATAAAACTGAATTCAACAAATGTTATAGTAAGCATGTTTTAAACGATGTTGGGAGTTAAAATTCTACTGCTCTAACGTCAAAGGCGGCATTTTAGTGATAGAAAGATGAAAATATGCACAACTATAGAAATATGAACTGGCTCTTAGGTATTAGGCTTTTGTAATTTTTTAGTTTTTTTCTAAACATTTAGAATCTGTAGCTCTGATTACGGTTATGATTTAGTGATGGGGAAATAATTATTCAAGACTGCCATCCTTAACAAAATCTATGTAGTTTTAGTTGCATCAATAAAAATGCTATATTAAAAGACAATAAAAAGTTATATAATGTTTATATTGAATTAATTTTTAAAATTCGTGTGGTAAGTTAAAAAAAGCAAGTTGCACGTATTCTGAGGCGAGCCTCTACGTCTTCGCCGCGTCTCCGTTGCTATTTTATAATGTTTACAGATTTTACTACTTTTCTCTGGCTGAAAGTTAAAAATTTATAAGGCTGGATTTCCGTGTTCATGTCTACAAAATACCTTATATACTCGCCTATAAGTCGGTTTTGGGGAGTTAAATTTTGGTCCAAAACTCTGTGTCCGACTTATAGGTGAGTCATAAAGATTGGCATTTTATTGGATGACAAATGTAGTATTTTTGAAGCATTTCCGACATTTATCGTTTAACAAAGTCTGGATATAATATATCATTCTAAGATTATACATAAAGAACAAGTATTTACATATTTTGATAATTTTATTTTTATTTTAAGTGTGTATTACTTATTTGTTTAATAATTCAAAATCAAATATCGGCGTCATTTTTTTTTTTAAAAAAAAATCTTATTTGAAACAGGTAAACATCAGAGCATTGCTTTAAATTGTCAACCAATTCTGGTAAAAAGTAGTACCGACTTATAAGCGGGTCAATGGCAAATCCTTCCAAAATAACCATAAAAAATGCAACCGACTTATAGGCGGACCGACTTCTGGGCGAGTATATACGGTAAGTGATTTGCTTGTCCTCAACGCAGAAAATCCAGGTTATATCGCTTATATTTTAATAAGATTATTTGTACAATGAAGAGTTGATCAGCAATTGTCGTCACACGGTCACGTGACCGATATCTAATTAACTTGGATTTTAATTTAGGGACTTCCATTTGAGTCAGTTAGTGTTTAATAACAGCAGTATATTCGCTGTTAACACACAAACTTTATAGACTTAAATTGTTCACAAGGAAAGTAATAGGCTTTCGAGGACCCTCTTTATACTGATGACATTTTTTTGGACTGAGAGAAAATTATATAGCGTAAAGGAGGATACTTTGAAATTAGCTTAATCATTTTTAATATAGGGAGCGTGTCTTTTTTATTCATGAAAAATCTTCAAAGACAATGAAGTAATGACAAACAAAACGACGCAAGTCCAGAGTAGAGCCCCGGTAGGGTGTTTAGGGTGAAAGGGTGGTGTTTAGGGGAGGGGTAGGGTGTTTAGGTGGAGGAGCAAATCTTCCCGACTAGAAATCTATTTCACGATTTTGAGACACCTCCACACCCCCACACACCCCAGTGATGAATTCTTGGCACATAATATTGACAACATTCTAGGTCTCTGGGAAATTTCATATGTAGAAGGTAAACAAAAATATGCATTCCTATTTCTTTTTTAACCAGAGCTCTTAATTTTGGGTATTTTCAGCAAAATCAAATTTAGAACATGAAGAAGAAAATTTAGAAAGTATTAAAAATTAATTAGATACAAAGTAATGTTCTACAACAAATTATGACCAAATTTATGTTTGTTCAGAAAAGGCTTCTTTTTTTATTTTCTATTTTTTAAAAACTTTTTTGTTCTTCCATTTTTTTTCTGGATAAAATGTAGGCATGTGCCTTAAGTGCATAATGGCAGCTACGCCCCTGAATGAGAATATTTTTAAAAAGCATATTCTTTATCATTAGGTTTCAGAAATGTACATGGGTTTAAGAAATGAAAAGGAACAAATGTTGAATTAATTGTTAATTACACAATCAATCTATACTCATAATTTCATTGAGATAAACACTGAAATACTTTATTTCTTATCATTTACTAAGGACAACAATTAAGTCTCCTCCATTTTCTATTTCAGCTAGCTGCGGAAAAATAAAGATTCTCTCAATTATATTAGAAGTAATATGTTCAAAATCCCCTTTTCATTATTTTAGGACATGCCTGTAATATTTGAAATTAAAAGCTACTGAATAAAACATTTACGTAAACGATTATTCAAATTTGTTTGTATCATACGATCAGGTATATCATATTATTTTTAACCTTTTTTATAATTGTTCTCAGGCTCCAACATTTCTTTAATGCTACAAAATTGAGCAACAGAATTCCATATTTAAAACAAATATGAAATATATAACTTTACTCCATGTAAAAAAAGTGCCTTAGCCCTAATTTTCTTATTCTTTTTTTTTTTAGATTCCTATACTAAAACTATAGTTTTATCTGTTGTTTAATTAATAAGCAATGGTTGTCTACTTATACTGAGTGAATGATGTTTTGCATGAAATATGGATATAACGAACAGTATTCAAGCTCAAAGTCCATTAAAACAATACAAATCAGGAGCAGAGCAAACACGGACCTCCAAAAACATCAGAGGTGGGATCAGGTACTATCGAGGAGTGAGCATCCCCTGCCGACCGGTCACACCCGCCGTGTGCTCCTTGTTATGATGGAAAAAAAAAACGAAAAAAAATCCTTAGGCATTTCAGAGTGTTAATAATGGCTTAACAATATGAAAAATGTCAGTCAGCATTTGACTTAATGATAGGTTGTATTTGCTGACAAGGTCTTGTATCGACAATAAAACTTACGAAATGATGACTCCAAATGAGACTGTTTCATCAACTTGTTTAACAATGGCTTACCTCGTTTTAGAAATTGTTCATACGAAGAGAATGCACTTGCGTATCGAATCAACCGGGAGACAAAACCCCCATATGCAGGTGATAAGGGTTTATTGCTACATAAATAAGTGAAGTTGACGATTGAAAAATTAAAGTCATTTATCATTAAGCTTTGTTGCAAGTTTACCATAACTATCTTTTTCTAGTAAAATATCCAGATATGAAACAGGTGTGTCAAACTCTGTAGTATCTTTTATTTCAAACTCTTAAGGATATATCGAGTCGATATATGAATGGAAGTAACTATTCTTTATTATAAAGATATACATGTATAGATAAAGGATCATATATAGATAAAGGTTGTGACAAATGCATTCATTGCTCTAATTCCTATAGCTTAACAGATACATCAACATTCTTAACATCTGTTATACCAAGGTTCTAAGTAAACATAATTTCTGTTTTAAAAAAAAAAAACACGGTATTAATATGAAAAAACATTGAGTTCTATTTTTTTTTTACTATGGCAGACTTAAATTGACGTTTTTCTCAGCGCCCAACAATTGACGCGTACGAAGATCTCTTCGCTAATTCAATAATCAAACAAATCCCTGCAATAACCGAGAGAACAATGGAAACTGCGCAGAATGCAAATGCAAAGCTGAACTTGACAAAACTGTCGTCTTTTTCCAATTCATGGTATTTTCCTGCATAAACTGCAATGGACACAATGGTGCACACAGCTGAAACAAAACAGAATTTAAGCATATATATGCAGAAATCTTTGACTACTTTAGTTGAAATAAACCTGTGGTATTAATCAACTTTCAAAATTGAAGGCAACAAGATATGAAACACAAATAGCACATTTCCGACTAAAATAGTATTGACTTTTATCTTAATAGAAAAACTTATTAAACTGAACTGTAAGGTCTATATTAAAATCAAAGAGCTGTGGTGTCTGTCTTTCGTGTCAATATATATACCGCTTATAAAGGACAAGATGATCGCGATGATCAACACAAAGACTCTGTCCTTTAAACGTATCTTAAGGATGGCCGAAATAATAGCAATGGTCGAGATGAAAATCCCAAGCAGCCCAAATGCTCGAACTGCTTTAAGCCAATCTAAAACAAGAAAATGTACATGTACAGTTATTAAAAATATATATTTCAATGAAATTCTTAAGTTAAAAAAATGGTTTGTAGCGTATCAATCAGTAATTATAATCTTCATAAACATGTATCCAATTCTTTGTTCTTAGGTTACTCAATTCTATGATAGCCCATGTGTGGGTACTTAATATCATATCTTAAAATTATGCTAATCAACAAATTTATTAATTGTTACCTGGACCCTCGCCATACTCAGTGCATTTGGAAATTTTTTGGCCAAAGATATCGGCAGTGGCACACTCTTTCCAGAGACCTGCATTTACTTTCAGGCCACTTGTTTCACCATATATCCAATATGGCGCAGCCACACCTATAACGTCCAGTATAAGGGCCGTGAGGAGGAATAGGCAGCCAGATACGAAGAAGATGGAATGACCTCCACATGACATTTTAGTGTTTTATATAATACTGTTTTTAATTAAAAATAATATTAAATAAATGCTTCATCCATTTAACTTGGATAATTTAGAGTAAATGATTGTTTTAAGTATGAATTAAACCAAAATTCATTTGTTTCCAAACTCCTTTTAAAGAGCATTATCTTATATATGGAAACTGAAGACATACATTTTCATATTCTGTATTTTTTTTTACTCATATTCAAAGCCAAAATATAAGTAATGCATTGGATACCAGCATCTTTAAAAAAAAAACCTTTGTCTCTTCCAAAAAATATTACTTGTTGACAAAACATAGAATATTGAAACTGTTAATTTGTCATGTAATAAACAATGAAAGAACAATCTAAATGAATACGAAAGAAAAAAAAATACCTTTTGATCGTTTCATAAAACTTTTTTGTCCTCTCTCCTGAATGGAGTAAAAATGATGTTTTTTTTAAATGTCACAAGTTTTTATATACTTCTTGACGTAAAACACTTACTTACGTAGCATCAGTATCACACGTGTTGTTAATATTGTTTTTCTGTATTGGTGACAAAAATCAACACATATCTGTATTATTTACTTAAAAAGATCATTTGAACAGTTTACAGCAAGAGCCTTGTAATTACCAACATGTATTTAAATTAAAAAGCTTAGTATGTCAATATAGAAATCGGAATTATTCAACCCCCCCCCCCTACCCGGAGTTCTGAAGCAACATTGTAGAAAAATATTGTTCATCCTAACGGCAGTGTATTTTGTTCACCATAACGGCAGGCTGTGTAACTTTTCTCATAGTCCCACAGGTTATACATGTATATACAAATAGAAAATCATGCCCATGTTTTACACCAATGTTGCAGCAAGCTAAATAAGAAGTGAAGAAATTTCTTAGCACTGTTTAAATTTAAATGATTTTAAAAATAAATCAGTGAGAAATTAGAATGATAATCAAGTCAATGAAAATAATGACAAAATGTAAAGTTAATGTTTTTGAAAGATACGGGGTTATATATAAGGCAACCAAACTCATTTGAACTGTCATTAAGTTTTTTATTAACTACTAAAGGGTTCAAGAAAAGTGGCGAACCCTAAATTTCTTTAGAAATTCCTGGCTCCTTGTGTTAGTTAAGAGAGATTATAGTCACATATATCTTGATCTAATCCAAGTTTACTGAAAACCAATACCACCATCCTGTTGGAATACAACTGCCCCCGTGATGTCATTTCATAGAGTTTGTTCGTTTTACACTGAGGACTATTTTAATTGTGTAAATGTTTAAGGCTAGTGTAATTTTTTTCACGTTCAACGAACAATATATACGAAAAGGGGATATGAATTCAATATTAAATATCATGCTTATTTTTGTGGTTTAAACCAACGTGCTTTGACAAAGTAAAATTAAAAAAAAAATTATTTTGTGAATGTGGAAGTAAACGGTTTTTTTGTTTGTTTGTTTTTTATTGAGGGAAAGTGTTTTACTCATATCATATATAAAACATGTGAGAATGACACTTTTTAAACAACTTGTTAAGGACTGTGCGGAAATATTTCTAGTGCTCACATTGATTATAGTCCAGCTGTCTCTTGAACAAATTAAAGGAAATTAATGCTTATCATTTGATTGCCGTATTTCACATTAGTTGAAAAAAAAAACATCATGCGATTTCAGAATGATATAATTTAAGTAAAGAAATCATATGATTTCAGAGTATGACTCACGGAAAGATGCGTAAAACAGTATATAATGCTTAATTTATTATTATTATTATTATTATTTTTACAAAGGTCTGCTTATTAACAAACATAAAAATATAAGAAGAAAAATTTACTTGCCTATACAAAAAATTGTTTGTACAAAAAGTAAAACACTTTCTTATAAATTACACATTTTATATAACATGTATTTTGTATTGACATTACATTTCAGCCTGCTTTCTGATATTGTTTAGATACGTCTACACACATTAAAAAATACATGTCTATTTAATGAATAATAATTTCCAAAACGAGGTTAGTTATTGACAAATAATTTGATGAAACAAGATTATCATCAGTCTCGTTTAAAGTAATCATTTTGTGAGTTCTATGGTCGATACAATGACCTTGTCAGCAAATACAATCTATCATTATGTCATATGCTGACTGACATTTTTAATACTTATTGGTTAGGCCATTAGTTACACACTGAATTGTCGACGGATTTTTCCGTTATTTACCAACCATGACAAGGAGCATACGGCGGGTGTGATTGGTCGGCATTAGAAGCTCACTTATCCATATGGCACCTGATCCCACCTCTGACTTTTTTTTTGGGGGGGGGGGTCCGTGTTTGCTCTGCCCCCGATTTGTATTGTTTTAATGGACTTGGCGCTTGAATACTGTTTGTTTTCTCGATATTTCGTTATACAACTTAAATATATTAATTACGTAATTGTACACGTTATTTTACTTATGCAGAATTCTAGTGCAGGATTTTTCACAGGGGTTTAATACCTAACCCATGACGTCATAACTGTTGATAAAATATTTGCCCAGTGAAAGAACTAGAATTCATGTAAACATATAGAAACACAATCAGTGTTTTGAAAACTGGATAACCCTTTTTCCGTCCGTCTTATCAATGAAAAGTTCAAAACTAGACTGCAAACTTTAAAACAAAATGTTAATCCATATCGAGAGCTTGTGTTCTCTATTATTTGGAAGGTGCTGGTAAAATCGGGTGGTCACTGTGAGTTGATGAAAATTCTTCCATCGTATGTACAAAATGTAAAACTTTTGAAGAGGTTTCATGCGAAAGTGTTCAATACGTATTTCTGCGTCAGGAGAGTAGGATTGTGGCAGCAATTTTCATGGCTCTTGGATTTTTTTTATCCTTCATCTTTCAAGCAAAAATTAAATAAACCGTATACTAGAAAACTATAACTTAACACAGGAATGTGTTGAAATTGTTGTTTATTAAACCTTGATAGATTTTAAGCTAGTATGAACAAACGCGAAAAGACCAAGTAAAATTTACATGCGACATGCAAAATGTACTAGTATAAACGTACAAAAATGTATCTTAGAAGTTTGGTGACTATAACCAATTGCAGACACAATAAGTGGTATAATACATCAAAATTACAATATTCCAAAATATTTTTTGTATGCAAACAGACATGAGTTTTTTTGCTAAAATGGGGGACGTGGGAGGCCTGGGTTTTAAAATCTCTCTCAGCCTTCTGTCTACTTCTCTCCACGAATTGTACAAAGTGACGCTAACTCTCAATCTGATTGCAAAAATGTTCCTAAGGCTCCCAGCGGGGAAAATATACAGGGTCCTCTGTAAGGGCTTACATGTACAAATAAAATACTACATGAACAAATATATATATTGAATAAAACACAAATATAAAAAAAACAAATTGAAAGATTAAGTTATTTGTCGGCATAAAACTATTTACTGTCATAAATGCTATTTACATAATATTTTTTTTAAAAACATAAAACATACACGAATCAGATGGAAAGTGCTACATATCATATGAATAGGTATATAAAATTCTGATTGACGGTGTTCACAAAGAAGCACAGAGGCTCCAACATTTCTACTCTGCTAAGAAATTAAGCAGCATTTCTGCAATGTTAAGCTTTTACATGACCTCAATAAATGTCACTTTTCGTTTTGTGAAATCAGTGTCTTTAAGATTTTGGTAGCTATCATTCTCTGATTATCCGAAATATTGATAAATATAATTCATAGAATAGGTTATATTTGTCTTTTACTGTGCTGTCTATAGTTTCTAAAGTAGTCTTCTAATGTCTGTTTCTGTCTAGATAAAGTTGTGACATTTTCATTCACAACCAGTTGCTTTCATGTTTCAAATATGGTAACCACACCTAGGCAACTGATCCCCCTATGGTGTTATCAAGGCTTTCGTGTTTTGCCCTGTTTACGATTCGTTTTGTCTACTGGATTTATGAGATTTAACACTGTTTGTTAACTCTACTTTTTACAAATGTAGTTATTTTTATGGATCTATTGTATCGGAAAACACAATTTAATTTAAAGACCCATACATAAATATGACAAAAAATATCAAGTTATTTTGACAAAAAATATCCAAACTGTGACAGTATATTGCACGGCATACTTTATTGTTTTCATAATTAAAAGTGCAGTGTTAAATGAGGTATGATAAAGAAAAGGAAAATTTAAGTTGTATTTCTGAAAATCATTCATATATATCATTAAATCTTAATGTAGTAATAGAATAAGTTTCTTAAAGTATTCTTTCAAAAGTTAATATTCACAAAATGATAAAGTAAAACAATGCTCAATAAAAGCGGCATACTTTGAGTCAACATTAAAAAATGTATATAACATTTTAAAAATACTCATTGAATCTTTATGTTCCAAATGAAGGAAGCAAAATTTGTGATTTTTTTTATTTCATTTTTCTTCTTCTTGACGTCTTTCTTGTGTTTCTTGTGATGCTTTCCTTCGTAATTCTAGTAACATAACTCCCCCGGATACAAGTGCTGCTAGCATCGCAAGAATGCAGAAGGAAAAAGCAAAGTGAAATCTAAAGTTGTACTTGTTCAACCTCTCATCATTAACATTTTCTGCAAATTGTCGCACTGAAACTATAATGAATACAGCTGCAAAAGAAAATAATATTGAATCGTAACGTTGTGTATTGATCAGAAAATTTCGATACGATAGGATATTTCATAAAGCAATATGCAATATATTGGGATCATTTCACAAGTCTATCAAAAAGTCTTGTAATTCATTCAATACATAAATTTTATAAAAACAGTGTTTTATAACCCCTGTCTCACTGTCATTACAAAATGCACTTCAAATTCAAACTTTTAACGTCTGTAAAACCAACATGTTAAAATATAGTAGTTTATGTATATTGTAATAGCTATAATTTTAAGATGTGCTATCTCCTTAATGTTTATATCATTATTGATCAGTTTTAATTCAAAACAGTTAATGTAATTTTTGGTGAGTGAGATTCTCAACATTTTCACAGGATTATAGGAAAATTGGCCTTCCCGATATGTATTGGAAGTTATTTTTTCGATACGATACATTCTTGAATATCGGTACGTATCGATATATTGACACAGCTCTAATATTGATATCAATTTACTGCTAGTTCTGTGATATCTGACGTAAACTTTTCTTAGTACAATTGGGTCATGGCTCATGCATTGAATTTATTTATATGCATGTAATGAATTAAAAAAAAAAAGATTTATTAGCATTTCAGACATTCCATTTGACATCTACTCTGCATCAATATCAACATTAAAAGGAAATTTTGTGTCTGACTTCGCACTTGTAAAATTGACAGAAAATCCATGTTCAATTACAAAACACGGAATTCACTAAGGATAATACGAGAGGTTCTAATGTATAAAAATGGTGAAGCTATTATTACTTTTTGATTTGTTGTTTGCTTACCACTAACGTCTTTGTCTGCATATGAAACAAATGTGGCAGACTTGTGGTATCATTATCTCGACTTCAAAGAGAAATATCAAAGTAGGATTAAAATGAAAATTGAAATTACATAAAACGTAATCGATATATCTTTTTCTCTTTTGTAAAAGTTTTTCAATAGATTTTGCTTCATATGAATACAAAAATGGGCCTGCTAGTAAAGGGGAGCAATAAGTATCCAATGAAATTCCGACAGATTGTTGGAAGACGTATCCCCAAAAACTAAGTAGATATTGTCAATCAAAACTCAAATCATTACATCAATATAATCATTATATGCTACCATTGTATATAGAAGACAATTTATATTAATTATTTCTCTATCCCTTACCTGTGTGCATTTAAATGAACAGTTTCTGGAACATACTTTAGCCAAGCATTATACTAAAAAGAGTTTTAATGACCCCGACGTACCATATTTTGCCACGTTGCCTATTTTTTTCAATTTGGATATTTGTTGAGATTTCTTTTTTTAAAAAAATTATTATCTTAGGTTTCAGTGGTGTAATTCTCAGCATTCTAGCATTCTCGGGATCTTGAGTTCAATCCCTACCGTGGGTGTTAACAGTTTTTCTTTAGAACAGGAAGTGCATTTTTTCGGTATTAATATGCTAAATTTATAAGACCCTTTAAATATAGATGCGAAAATAGGTGAGTATTGCTAATATTGAAACAATCTTACAGGTTGAAAAATAACGTGATATACGAGGGCTGTTGGGAAATTATTGAGACATTGTGCTTATTCTCCTTTTTAATGAATGTCTTTTTGTAAAAATTTGCATACATGTTTGTTAATATTAAGAATTAAAGAAAGCAAGAAATATTTTACAAACATTTTTATTTTTTCTCTTTTCAATGATATATTAATGTGTCATTGGTAAGGGTACCCGACGCAGTCACGAAATCGATATTAAAAATATGTAACACCTACGTTCAAACTCACGGTTGATACACAGTAAGAACGAAAATAATTCAAACTATGTATATCACTTTTAATTGTAGTTTAATTTAATTTTGTGCAAGTTGATAGAATTTTGATCTTTAAAAAATCAAGCACGATATGGAAATCTGATTACGACGACAAAACAAATTTTGACGTCAGCGAACATACCAAACATTTTGTGTAGCGCTGTGGAGAACTCTTGTTAAGACCCATCAAGACCCGTGAAAACAACAAGAATGCGAAAAGTGTCGCCAGGGTGTGGATTTTTTTATTGGTGTATTTTTTTAACAACTAACTCAACCAGGATAAAAACAAATGATAATTTATTACGTACTAATTAACGATAACCCACGTACGTACGGTGCAAAATCAGTACTGCGTGATGCTAAGTCAACCTGTATATGACACTTCACGTTGTTTTACACTGGGGTAACAACACAATCCATTTTATTTCTTTTAAAGAATCATTTAAGGACAGAGAGAGAGAGTTTGATTTCTAGAATGTTATATTTTAAAGATAAAGAAAGAAGATCGTTTCAACATTAGAAAAAAGTAATGTCTCAATCATTTCCGAACAGCCCTCGAAGTGTATAGTTTATAAATTGAAAGCTTTCTAGAGTCAATACTTTCTTAAATAGAGCATACCTCCAATAAAAACTGAACCTATTGCCACGAAAAGTATCGGTTTTCTGTCCTTCAGAAAGAATAACTTTATGACTGTCAATACTGAAGCAAACATGAGTGCCAAGAATCCAAGAATGCTCATAGCTTGAGACGTTCGCAACTGGCGTTTTGACATGTCTGTAGAAAGAAAAACTTCGTTATAAGTTTATAAGTGAAATATAATCTATTTTGACATAATATAACCTTGCCCTCTAAGAAAACAGCATAAAAATTATAACTTTTTACTAAATTCAAATCTTATTTACCTATTGATTGTAGGAAATCATCAGTATCACTGCAATCACATGCCTTCCACAGACCAGCGTAGGTGGGTACATAAGAACTTCCTAAATCTATTGAATTTTCATCAGAAATCCAGTATGGTGAGGCTAAGCCAAACAGCTGAAGGAGGGCTGCGCATATTATTAGAACCAGTGCAGTGATCAAAACTTTAGAACCTTCCATATTCTTTTTTCTGAAAAACAATGATTAAATAAATATAAATTCATCATACAACATGCACAAATTATTATTATTATTATTATTATTATTATATATATATATATATATATATATATATATATATATATATATATATATATATATATATATATATATATATATATATATATATATATATATAGTAATGAGTCGACTTCAAGATGATCACTTTTATATTAAAAAAATCTTAACAAAACTTGAGACGCCAAGCAATGCGAAGAATCGAACGACTTACTAAAAAAATTGCTGATGACTTTACTAATGAAATATGGAGATAACGAACAGTATTCAAGCTCAAAGTCCATTTAAACAATACAAATCGGGAGCAGAGCAAATGCAAACCTCCGAAAACATCAGAGGTGGATCAGGTGCCATGGAGGAGTGAGCATTATTTGCTGTTAGCCATTGAGCTACCTAAAAGCTTATGGTATACTTTACGTAGAGAAATTTTTCGTTCTTGTTATATAATTTATATCCTTTTGCCTTTGTTTTAATACGTAGATTTAACAGAAAAGATATTTTCTGGAAATCAACTGTGTATGGGAGAACCTAAATGAGGGCAAAAATGGTTACTTGTTTGTTTGTTCATTATTGTTTTACGTCCCTCTCGAGAATTTTTCACTCATATGGAGATGCCACCACTTGCCGGTGGAGAGCTGCAAAGTTTTTACCTATACTCGGCACTTAAGGCCATTGAACAGTGAGGGATCTTTTTCGTGCCAGCACCTACTGCGACACGGGACCTCTGTTTATACGGTCTCATACGAAGGACCGGTCTCCACGTCCCACAGTGGGATTCGAGCCCGCGACGTAAGGATCAACTCATTACTCTGCGACTCTAGAGCGAACACTCTAACCACTGCGCCACGCGGGCGACCAAAAATGATTGCAAATGTAAAAGAGCAAATTTTCAGGGGACGAAATAACTTTTTCTGTAGTTTAACACAGATACATGTTTCAAATATGCAGAAGTGACTATAAAAAATATTCTCTGAAATTATTGTCACGAATGAGTGACACATGCAACACTGTTAAAGAAAGATAGCTCAAGCATACACAATATGCTTTTGTTAATTAAATTATAGTTATTTCAGTCAAACTGTTGTATTTTTATTTAAGAACTAGACCACTTTTACGTTCATTATTTGCTACAATTTATTTGTGATAAGGTAAAGTGGTTAAGTATATCAGAAATATCCCCAGCATAAAGTTTTTAAATTTCAATTAAAAGGGACAACGTTGGGTGATTTTAAAAAATGAGAAGTAAAGATGAAGATAATGAACCCCGATTGATCTCCAAAAATTTATAAACAATACAAATATGTGAAGAGAGCATAAAAAACGGACGCCTGGAAATTCCAGAGGTGGGATAAGGTGCATTAGAGGAGTAAGGATCCCCTGTGGACGAGTCACACCCGCCGTGAACCCTATGTATTGATCAGGTAGACGGGGAATTCCGTAGTCAAATTTAGTATAAAAATAAAGGCCTAACAATTGGTATGAAACAAATTAAACAAAATTCGACCCAATCATAGGTTATATTTACTAACAAGGTCATCGTAAAAGAAAAAAAATTACGAAATATCGACTTTAAACGAGGTTGTTGAAATTCCTGTAAGATCAACGTATCAGTAAGTAACATTAAAAGCACTAAAGTCTTATCAATTAACCTTTTTGTTGGCCATAAATAGGTTACTTAATATGGGATGGTGGTTTTCGTAGGAAATCATTAAAGTACTTCCGTCAGGGTATGGAGATGATGTTGAAAAATGAATATTAAGTGATACATATAAAAGTGCTTCGAAAAAATGTTCTGATTACGAATTATTTCAAACATTTTCAAAGACCTAAATTTTGATAGCGTTTCGGCTTTACCAGAGTTAAGGTAACCCGAGCACTTTGCTAGAGAGGTCATTATGCTTTTATTGTTCTTTTACTTCCTTCAAAACTTAAAAAGCATGTACTTATCTTTCTCCTTCTTTTTAATTATATATTTTTTTCAGTTCTTTTTTAGATTTAAATTACTTTTTTCACTTACTGTTAGACTTATATTACTTTTTTTCATTCACTGTTTGATATTAACAACTTACTTTTTTCACTCTTTTACGACAAATTATTTCTCCTTGTGAAAACATACATTGTTTAATAAAGATGCAATCTTATTTTAATTGTAGTGTAAAATATTCTACATATCTTAGGCATATGTATGGCGTGTAAAAGATGGTTTAAAAATTGTATTTTTGACATCAAATAAAAGATCGTGCCAAAAAATACTCACCTATTAAGATTTTCTGACCGAGCCCTTTTGATTTACATTTATATTTTGCCTAACATCATTAGTAGTATGACGCGTCTCAGGAAGAGACACTTGTATTTATAGTAGCTCGCGGATTAGCCAAACAAAAAATTAAAAACATTCGAGAGTCCGTTTTCTGCAAATTCAAAAGAAATTGTCTTCTCTTATAATTATTTGAAAATTATTTTATATATCAATAACCTACATATTTTTTTATTTTATATATTTTTTTTTTTTTAGTTTGAGTTATAATGATTTCATATGTCATACTTATGTGTCTAAACCAAAATATTTTCAGCACAACAAAATTCACTATAATAAGTTTATGAAGGGATTTAAATTAAAAAGAAAAAGTATAACAAGACTTTTTATAACAATACATATTGAAAAATAGCGAAAAAATCTTCATTAAAAAGACCAACTTTGATTTTTGTTTTTTAGCAAATATAAAGAAATTACGAATTAACTGCAATGGCATCAGGTTTTTTTTTTTCGTTTACTGTATGCAAGAAAGATATGAACAAAATTAAATACCGGTATGAAAATTGATACAGACATACAACAATAAGTAACATTCTGTCTTGAAAAATTAGAAGCTGAAATTCGGCTTCACATGTAAAATAATTTTAAATGGAGATTGACTCATTTATTCATCTTTATTCCCTGCCTGTCAGAATCTTGTCTACGGGACTTGAAACACTTGCTTTAAAAAGTGATAAAACCTTAGTAATATAAAACAAAAAAGCAGTGTCACAAACTTTTCTGCATTGAAAGAGGTCTTCTTCGTAGGTTAACAATTAAGATTTTACACAATACATCGCAAATTCTGAACATTGTGACTAATATTTAAGATAGTTAAATCTTTTCATGAACTTTTTTTCATGCAGTAAACCAGCAAACCATATCAAGTACATTTAGGGTATCAATCAACAGGAAGAATTACACTTAGATGCAAAGAGCAATGAAAAGAACCGATCCTAATTCTAAGAACTATTTGAAAACAATGTCTACATGTACAGTAGCAAGTACCAAACAGCCCCATTCTGACTCCCTGTCCCTGGACTGCTGTGAGGCTGCTTTGTAGAAATCTGATCGTGATTTGGGACTACTCTTGGACTGCCGTGAGACAGGTCTGGGAGACTTTCCTAAAAAGAAATGCTAGCAGTCATTGGGTCTTATATCTTGTGATTCTTTGTTCATTCATGTATGAAAGGGGTTCTGAGTGACAAGAAAGACCCGCCCCTTGAGTACTTTGAATCTAACCGATAGGGTATGCTTACTCCTGATCCTACCTCTGTTAGTTCAAGTTATGACAATTCTCTCAATTTTGTTTTGTTTAACTGGATTTTAAGCTTGACCTTGTCAGCAAATACAATCTATCATTAAGTCAAATGCTGGTGGACGTTTTTCATCGTAATTGTTAGGCAATTAATTACACACTGAATTGTCTTCGGATTTTTCTGGTAATTCCCAATTATGACAAGGAGCACACGGCGGGTGTGACCGGTCGGCAGTGGATGCTCATTCTTCCATGGCACCTAACCCACCTCTGATGAAGTAGAGGTCCTTGTTTGCTCTGCTCCTGATTTGTATTGTTTGAATGGACTTTTGTGCTTGAAAACTGTTCGTTATCTCCATATTCAATTTACAAACTTTTCAATGAATCATTGGTAAAGCAGAAAAAAGCAGATCTTTGTATTCTTTATCTATAATAGAACAATTAACTACGAGTTGTTTGATAAGAATACCGCATTGAAAAGTAACTTTTATTTCAAGAAAGCCTTCATTTATTTAATCGGACGCTCCTCCTTATACAAATATATCTTGTCATTAAGGTCACTTCTAACATGAATCAGTCCTTGTATTTGCAATTGTTAAATTTAAATCAGATTTTAACAAAGGTGTGCATTATCTAAGAAGAATCAACAGTGGTGAGCAAATAAGAGAGAGAGACAGAGATGTGTGAAATTTTAACAAACTCACCGACTCAGTTGTCAAAATGAATACGTATAACTAGTGCTTACAAAATGGGGGATGCTATTTACAATTACCTGCAACACCTGCAAAATATGGCTTATAAACCGTATCTGGCACTTCAAAAAGAATTCTAAACAGAAGTACAAATTCTGTTAAGCTTTTTGCCTCATGAAGGGAAATAAATCCTAAAGTGTAGGTTTACAACTATATTAACGGAAAACCTGAATGGATATATCATTTTAGAAGTTACACTGTATATCTTCCTCTGTACTGTATATTAAGTGTATTTCTTTCTTGTGTATTCAACAGAAACCAGATGCAATTTGTTGTGTTTTTATAGCAGAGATTAGTATTTAAGAAGTTTGCCCCATATTCCTGAATAAAATTCGGATTGTTTAGACATTATACCCGCATTTTAATTCGTTTTAGTAATATGTCAGCAGAAAATGAGAAATATATTGTGACAAAAAATAAACAATTATTGTCCGCTTTCTTTGTTTTATTTTAAATGAAAAGTAAAAATGAAAGAGTATTGCAGTCTAAAAACAAAAAAAAAAAAACACATTCAAACGTTTAAAAAAAAAAAACAAAAAAACAAAAAAAAAAACCACGTTTGGTCGTCTGACTAGGACAACCATGACGTATTCGGAGAATACAAATTATGCCGATCTTAATCAGAATTTGAATATAAATGTATTTGTCATACCCAATAAAGATCAGAAGAACTAACAGACATATAAGATTGAAGAAGAAAATATCTCTTAACGATAAAAGTTAACGATTAAATAAAGCTGGCTACCTGTATCAGATCTATTTATAAAATTTATTTACCCCAGCTGTCACGATAAAGACAATGACCCTGAGTGCCAAGTAAAGGTAAAATTTGAAGCCCTTCACCGGTATATGGTGGCGTCTCTATAAGAGTGATTGATTGTTGTTTTACGTTCCGTTCGGGAATTTTTCACTCATATAGAGACGTAATCAAATACTGGTGAAGGGCTTCATATTTAGACCTTTACTCGGCACTCATGGCCATTGAGCAGTAAGGGTTCTTTATCGTGCCAACGCCTACCGTGACACGGGGCCTCGGTTTTTAAGGTCTCACCCGAAAGACCCGCAACTTTCACTTCAAAGTCCCGAGCTCTTGGCGAAGGAATAATTGCTACCTATTTTTTATCGACTTAGGTCAGTCGCAGCCATGATTCAAACACACGACCTTTTAACACTTTGAGCAGAAGTATTTAAAATACATACTATATATATATATATATACATATATATATATATATATATATATATATATATATATATATATATATATATATATATATATATATATATATATATATATATATATCGAAAGAAGAAAATCATGAAAGAATTTTAAACATCCACGGCAGTAAGAATTACAAAATGTTTCCCAGAATATTTGCTTACAAAACAATAAAAATTAACCCCCCCCCCTTGAAAAAAATCATTATTCCAGAACCTTATTAGAACCTTGCAATACGAGCTGTGGGGCATCTTTATCACATAAAACATGTAATGTGCAAAATCCGTTTTCTTTAATTATTTCAAAGTAACTACGATATTTCCGGAATTTCCTGCCCATCATTTGCATTGTCAGAATTTTCTTTTACTGTTGAATGTATGCATCCGACCTGTGAGAGACACAAACACATTATTTATTGTTTATTCTATAACTTTCTCTAAAATTGACTGTCTTTCAATCAGTAAAATTTGAACTACATGTAATTCATTGATAATTTTATCATTTGTGTTACATTGATTGTTTTAAAAACAAAGAAAATTGAACATTTGGATAGGCCACTTCTATCTCTTTTCCAAATTTGAATGTTTTTCTTAGTTAAGATGTTAATTCAATTTATTCATTCAATAAGTACAAAACCAAAACCAAATGTTTCAGTTATTTTCGATATATATATATATATATATAGAGAGAGAGAGAGAGAGAGAGAGAGAGAGAGAGAGAGAGAGAGACAGAGAGGCCATCCTTAATCACTCCAACAACCATTACAATACCAGCTGCAATTGCTGTTATCATTCCAATATAGTTGCAGATGATACCAATATGGTAATCAAAGGGAATGGGAGACAAAACGTTCGTCACTTTGGCTGAATACGTACCAATAGCAGGCAAAATGAGGCTAGCTGCAGAGATAATATTAGACATTTCTTCCATCATTCTTGTTCTTAGTGCATGTACTTTTACTTAAAGGAATCTTTGTATAATTTTTTGATTATTACATGTTGTTACATAATGTTATGTAATTATTTTCTTTTATTATAATTTTTTTATACACAGATAAAGCTTATGTCATTAAATGTTTCTCTCACCTCCGGTATAAATTTTCCCAATCGCAACAAAAACCAATCATTTTAGAAATGTTAAACCAGCAGCAGCCAGTAGTGTCAGAAGTCCAGAAATAGCAGTACCTCGTAGAGCCTTTTTACAGTCAGATCCTCTAAGTTAAACATAAAGTGGTTTTCTTATAAAAATTTGACGATATAGACAGATTCTTTTAAATCATTTAAAGGAAATAGATATCCAGTAAGGTACCAATATCCCAATCAGTTGAAAAATGACAACAAAAAGCATTATCTCGAACGAAACAAGATAACAATTTATTCCAGCCATGATAATTGTTATACCTGAAAATTAAAATCAAAAACATCTAGGTCTTTTTAAAAATTATATTTCATAAATTCCTTATCTCGATTTAATCGGTTAAATGAGCGATGGAAAAAAAGAAACGGCCCTCAAAAGAAAAATAACACTAACATTAATAGAAAAAATGTATATTCATCATCGATGTTTTGTCGCAGGGTTTGTATCCGAAACAACCAAAGATTCAGAAAAAATTATCTTAGTGAACACGTGGTCGGTCCTGTAAGCGAACTTGATGATTAAGAGAGAATACAAAAATATAACAGTGGTGATATTAAAAATCATTTTTTGAAATTAATTTGTGCATTCCTAGGTAGATGTAATTTCCAAAAATTCATATTCTGTACTGTATAGACAACCATACTTTATATATGTATGATAAAATCTATAGTTAAGGTTGATTGTATGTTGTTTTACGTCCCATTCGAGAATTTTACACTCATATAGAGACGTTAATATATTTCGGTGAAGGGCTTTAAATTAAGACCTACAATCGGCCATTGAGCAGAAAGGGTTCTTTATCACGCCTACGGTGACATGGGACCTCGGTTTTTAAAGTCTCATCCAAAAGACCAGTGAATTTCATTTCCAGTGCCGGAGGCTTGGCGAAGTAACAGTCACTTATTATGTTTACGACTTAGGGTTGATGCTGCGAGGCGAACGAGAATCAAACCCGGGTTCCCAATCACGAAACGGTCGTCCTACCACTAGGCTATCGTGACCAATGCCCTATTGTAATGAGTATCGCAAAAAGCTAAAAAATTATGTTTAGAACACTTCTTTTCAACCCAAAATTAAAACTACTGAAGATGGTATCTTATCTCAGAAAATGTACTTGGTTTTATATTACGTATATAGGTATACTTTATATCATATCTTGGAAACAAGAAACAATACTTACATTTGCTGTGTTTTTCTAGTAAGCCAACTGTGAAATTGATTTGAATGCCATTTTCGTGTATACTCAAATATACACGGATAAACTCGCGCTAAAGTGACGTCCCAATGAGCTACAGAGACGTTAATAAAAACGATATAGGGCAGTGAGAAAATTAAACATTGAGTACCGGTATATTTTTGGTGATTTTGAACATGTAAAATGTAAATATAAGGAATGTTTTAAGCTTAGTACCGAGTATAGGTCTAAATTTATAGCCATCCACCGGCTAGTTGTGGCGTCTCCATATGAGAGAAAATTTTTCGAGAGAGATGTGAAATTCAACAAACATACAAACCATCAAACAGACATGTCTCTGGAGACTACATCAAGGTAACAGGTATGTGTTCTGTATTTCTGTATTTGAAAACACAGCTAATGTTAATAGAAAAGTATAATCTGATTTTTGTACTACTACTACAGCTAGTTTTTTTTTTTTTTTTTTTTTTTTTTTTACATTACTTTACATCGCTACATGTGTAGACCATTGATATTCTTTTTCATGATTTTTTATGTATACTAAAAGAAGAGAATATTCTTCGTGCATGTACGCAAAAAATAAGCTATAAACTCCAATTTCCGTCGATTGAAGGATGGCTTCAATATTCAGTGTCATTTTAATGATTCAAATTAATGGTGTTTCGATTTACAATGGTTTGTAAATCATAAGTTTTTTTTAATGCATCCTATTTGACTTCTAATTTTATTAAGGTTCATTGATACTCTGATAAGAGAGATAACTCTTAATGACATAAATATAATTATTCTTTTATAAATTTGACAGGTTGAAAAGTGTCCTTTTTGTCTAATTTGCAACGCAGGCCATGTTCTAATTGTTTGTATTTTACTTACATGTGTATAAAACACATTTCTTTTGGAAAACCACAATGGTTAAAGCAATATTTTATATGAGTGAGCAGAGGGTTTATGAACCTTAATTTAGTTGCGAACGAAAACATAAGCAGACTACATGAATACCAAAATCTGTATGTGAAAATCTCAAAAAGAATAATAAATTATGTTGTTTATGTTGTTGAGGCGAGATTGGAGAAAACATTTAAATCAGCACTGATAATACATCAAAAGTGAATAAAAATGTTGTCTAGACATTTTAACTCCCTGTTCATTTAAGCTTTATTATGATAACTCGATTTACGTTTATCATTTCTTTGTACAAAGACTACTTCAAAAACAAAAATGTACTCAAAACATCATTTTCATTTTTTTCCATAGTATAAAACCCCAGCCTTTCAGGTTAGCTGATCTTGAGTTGTGTTTAACACGATTCTTTAATATGCATACCCTCAATGTTTTTGTGTGATAACTATTTCAAAAAAAAAAATTGTGACGTTATTTTTAATGTTTTTGTAAAATAAAACCCCTGCCTTGACATTGATCATGAGCTTACTCGTCTTACAAAAAATGTGTTGAAATCATATGTGCATGTATATAAGTGCTGACACCCCCCCCCCCCCCCCCCAAAAAAAAAGAAGAGATATGCCATTCCACAAAAACCTTTTGAGTTTTATTGCTGTGCAATGATTTACAGTATCGAAATCAAGAAAATTGAAAATAAAAATATATATGTTTCTATTCTTTTGATTAAAAGTCTTCTCCAAAAGGATATTTTAACAAGAATATATTTCCTTACAAAAATATTTATCAAAGCAATTCAAGTAATTATTTATCAGTAAATCAATGTATTGTAACCTTCAGCTGCATGCAACATAATATAACATATACATATAACTTTTTAATATCAAAGAATGTTTTTATTTGTTTTACCTTCATGCATATGTTAAAATTCCAAAAATAAAATTGATCAAAAAGAAAAAAACAGGAAAGGAAGAAAGGGAAAAAACCCTCTAAACTGCACAAACTCAAAGATTTGCCAGTGTTAGACCTTGCAGCAACAAAAACTGGGGAGGGAGGACCAGCATTTAAATGAAACATTACACAATAAAACCACAGCAAAAGGCCTATTCAGAAAACCGGGCTCAAACAAACCACGGGCTCTACGAACCTGTTCAATATTTTAAAGTAAGGAAGTAGAAAGTACATTATTTATCTAAAGGGTACAATATCTTTTTCTTTTAAATATTTGTTTAAAAATTTGGTTTATGCACAATACTTCAGGTGTTCAATGACATAACTTGATTAAGTGAAATTAAAAAAAATTCTTAAAGAAAAAGAGAAAGATAAAATTCTCCAGCAAAGTTGTCACTGATGATAAAAAGATATTTAATTTAGAGATTATCGAGCACTTGATAGACTTTTAAATTGAATCAACAAACACTTTTGATACAAATTATAGAACAGTAATGAAAATGAATATGTCATTTACTTATTTTCATTCGGATTAAATGGGAATAAGTTCGTCTACAGATGAAAAAAATAGACATACATGTATATCATTCACGGATACAAAGACAATCTCTGATGCTACAAACAATATATCAGTAGTGGATTTTCTGTTGTGTGTTGTTATTAGAGGGAGTAATAAATATTCCTCTGCATTCACAGGAGATACAAAATGATACGCAAATATGTACTGTCTCGGCAGCTTTTATACCCCACTGCCTTTCTTTCAAATCATTCTTCCCTGCATTCAAAGTCATCAAAAGAAGTCAAATAAATACAGCTCTATTTGTCAACATTCGAGTTGATTGAAAAAAGCACTTAACTTTTGAAGCGTCTTGTTTTTATCGTTAACGATTTTAAAAATAACAGGTAGAAAGGCCATTTTTTCAAAACTACGTATTTCGATTTTATTCTACTTTTGTTTCACAGACAAGAAAAGTGAACAAAAAAGAGCTGAGCGAAAATAGAATTTTACCTTTAATAGATAGAAGAAAGGTAAACATTAAAGTCATTAGTCTTACGATATATTGCATATTTGTACACAATATTGTATACTTGATGCTTAGTTACATAGTAACAACAAAACAATGGACCGGGTACACAACTATACAACTTTTTTTGGTTTGAAAATACAAGTAATGCTGGTATTATTTAATGCTTATCTTGCCAATACGATGCATACATATGCTCACTAATTTAGACTGGCTGATGAAGGCAGACAAAAGCACACTTTTGTACCTATTTTCTTATGCAGCTGCAGATATATTACCGAAAACTGACTGTATGAGTCATGAAATTTTATAGAAAATTTTAATTAACGAGTTATAAATTACTTTCAACAATAATTATTAATAAGCCTTTCAATTATACTGTAGAGTAAAATGTAAAAATAAAAGTAAAATGTAATCAAGAAGAGAGACTTAAATATGCCTTTTCAATGTATAAAACTGAATGATTTTCTTCCTGAACTGAACTACTGTTTCATAGGTGAGGAGAACTGATGATTTCTTATCCCTTCATGATGTCTACCAACATCACGCCACCTGCTCCGATCGCTACTATCATTCCTATGATGCTGAAGGCGAAAGCGAAGTGATAATTATAATCAACGTTTCCGTAGAAGTCCTTTGTTTTGGCCGCATACACTGCTATTGATATAAGGATAAACACCGCTACAAAAATAAAGCCTTGAAATTGTAAGCAACCTGGCAAACACTAGCAAGTTTAATGGTAAGACAACAGTAAATGACCAAGATTGATTTCCCGTTAACTTGAAATTAAAATGTATCTCATGATCATGCATAACTTTAATTACAAAATCCTATTAGGATCAAACTACGGTAAAAAAAAAAAAATTAAAAGGCGTTATAATGAAAAGGCATTATAATGCCGAAAAAGGCGTAATAACGCAAATAAAGCCGTAAGAATGCCTTTTCAAAAGGCGTTATAACGCGAAAAAGGCGTAATTATGCCTTTTTAAAAGGCGTTATTTCGCCTTTCCAAAAGGCGTTATAACTCCTTTCTAAAAGGGCGTTACTACGCCTTTAAAAAGGTGTTATAACATTTTTCCTAAAGGCGTTAGTATGCCTTTCTAAATAGGCGTTAGTACACCTTTTTAGGTATTCAATGTATAATGAAGGGACATTGAACAATTTTGAATCATTTTAAACTAGTTAAATATGCATTGCTAGATATAATGATGAAAGTGAAATGAACCAAATTCACATGACTAATGACATTTAAGAAGCCGGCAATTTTGCACTTTAAACATTTTTGAAGAGATATCTGCCCTTGATGAAAAGAAGGAAATTTAAATTTTGTCAAAATATCTGTGGTTAATGATTCATTTTATTTCATATTTTAATAAAGAGAGAGTCCTTGCATGTTTTCACCAAGAGATCTGTATGAAGTTCAAATTACTTATTACAATATCTTAAAAACACATGTGATGCCCATAGAATTCAATGTAAAATTCAAGGTGCAATTAATTGGACAATAAACGAAATTTTGTAAATTATGTAATAACGCCCTTAAAGAAGGCGTAATAACGCCTCTTTAAAAGACTTAATATAACGCCTTTTGGAAAGGCGTAAATATAACGTTAGTACGCCTTTGTCTGCGCTATAACACCTTTTCAAAAGGCGTTATTACGCCTTTTGAAAAGGCGCTGTGACGGCTTTTAAATTTTTTTTTTTTACCGTAGTTTGATCTTAATAGGCTTTCGTATTTAATAGACTTTCTAGTAGCATAAAAAATGTCGATAAAATCTATTTTTGGCATAACATCACAAGTGATAATTAAATCAATTTCTTTAAATGAAATACATTCATAAAGATACGTTTCAGATCAAATATAAATATCCATTACCTCCTGCGAAAGCTGTGCCTATTGCAACAAAAAGAACTGGCTGCTTGTCTTTCAGAACAAACAGTTTTAATACTGCCATGATTGCCGCTACCATTAGTACCAGAAAGCCAAGGATGCTCATTGCTCGGACAGCCTTGAGCCAATCTGTAATAAGGAATGTTATATCAATGTGAACGTGATGTGAAAAAAACACTAAAAATTTCAAATAACAATTCTTTCATATTAAACTTTCGGCTAATTTTATTTAATTTTTTTTAATATACATTTTGATTTTTTTTTAAATTTATTTTTGAACTTGTTTTAAATTCAGTCCGACTTGACATGCATCTAGTGGGATATGTTTTTTTTCTTCGTCCTCCTTTTGAAAACATTTATCTTTAAAATGTAATAAATTTATCTGTACCGTCATCTGTAATTTCAATATCAGTGCATACGGTATCTCCAGTCGAAACTGTTTGCGTACATGTCTTCCATAGACCAGAATTTACATTGATTGAATTTCCATCAATAAATGTCCAGTAAGGTGACGCCAAACCAATTAATTGAAAGATAGCTGCACAAATTGTGAGCGTCATTGCAATAAGCAGAAATTTAGAGGCTTCCATATTTTCCAATCTGAAAGAAATTGCAGTACTTCTAAAGTTTTCTTTATATTAAACAATATCCGAGAAGAAAAGGGGGAAGCTGCCTTCAAAAGATATTATATCAATTACATGTAAGCTAATGTTATATGAAATATGACGTATGCATCAATCAGTAATTTTCAAAAACTTCTTCTTGAGAAGAAAAAAAACTCTGGCTGCGCTTTCAATCAAACATTAAGATATATCGATGAATAAGGGTGAAAATAACGAACAGTGATCGATCTCATAAAAACTTCAAACAATACAAATATGTGAACAGGCCATAAACACGGACCCCTGGAAATTCCGGAGGTGGGATCAGGTGACTAGGAGGATTGACGACGTTTTTTTTAAATTAAGAAGAGTATTTTCATTCATATATCAATTGATATATCCTATTAAACTCGAAATAATGGTCCTTCAAATCCCTTACACATCTGATTAATACTTGGATATTTTGCTGTCTATGGACCTAGTTGCCAACTAACTATTAAAGTATATGACAGACGGGATTACTTCACTTTGTTCAACATCAAGCTTCCCCTTTTATTTAGCAATATTCCATAATCCAGAGTATGGTGTTCATGTCCCCCAACTGATTCGATACCTTAGAGCATCTTTTGAGTGGGATCAATTTTTAAACAAAGGCATGTTACTGAATAATAAATTGATGTTACAGGATTTTAACTATCTTATTTGAAGTCAAATTCGCAAATTTTATGATCATTATAATGACGTTATTTGCAAATACAACCTATCATTGGATAGCTTGAAGAGCTAAATTTTGCAGATTATATAGCACTGCTAGCTCTCTGACATCATGATATGCAAGAAAAAAACAACAAACTTGACAAAACAGCAGGAAAGACTGGTCTGAAAATTAATAACACCAAATCTAAGAACATGAAGCTTAACACTAAATCAGACGAGCCCATCACCCAAAATGGTATAAAAATGGAAGATGTCACAGTAAGTAAGAACTAAGATCACCACAGATGGAAACTCTGAGGTAAATGTACTAGCTCGGATTTCTAAAACTACAGGAGCGTATGGTACACCTCAAAACATCTGGAAGTCAGCCAAGATAAGCATAAATACCAAAATTAGGATTTTCAAGAGTAATGTGCTTGGGCCTCCCTTGTATGCCGCTGAATCAGGAAAAGTAACAAAAGCCATTTTAAACAAGCTCAATGCCTTCCAGACCCATTGCCTTATCACTCAGAATATCCCTCATTTTCTGGCCTAATACCATTTCAAATGAAGAGCTGTACAAATAGACTAACACCGATCCTCTGTCCCAAGTTATAAGGGAAAAAAATGGCTTTGGATAGGACACATATCCAGAATTCAACCAACCTCCATCCCAAGGGTTGCACTGAGATTGACACCAATCGGTAAGAGAAAGAGCGGAAGATCAAAAGAGACCTGGATAAGATCGGTGGAGAAAGAAATGAAAGAGAACTGGACATGGGGACAGGGACAGAGACGAACACAAGACAGACCATCATGAAAGTCTCTGGTGACGACCTAATGTGCTGACCAGCACGAAGTAAGTAAGTATTTGAACATATTATTACTGGCAGGTTTCCCACTAATTATTAGGCAATTGTTTTTATACCATGTTGGCTAAATTACTCCGTTTACCCGATCAATACAGAAGGCTCACGGCAAGTGCGATCGGTCGACCGAAGGATGCTTATTCCCCCTAGACATCTTTTCAGAGGTCCCTGTTTTGTCCAAATATCCAAATATTTAACAGCTGAGCAAATGCTTTCAATGACATGTCATAAATGGTAAATTATTAGACCATTTTCTGAAAGACAGACTGTACAGTTTCTGCACGATAAGAGTCTAAAAATATTTAAAACAAACAACACAAAGTCTGGCTCATCTGTTAAATATTTGGATATTTTACTAGAAAGCCAGTAATTGAATATATACATTTTTTGCATTCAGATAACTATACAGTGGGTAATAAACATGTCAACCATTATACAAGACGCAATTCCTACGTGGAAAATCATACTCAAATTCTGGGTATTTCAAGTGACTTCAGTCCTCATCCTTTTTATATCTTCATCACGCCTGTAACACATACGAAATTCAGGATCCGCCCTTTCATCTATGTTTTCAATTTTTTGTAACAATATTATCACCGGTTTTGGTAAAACGCCATCTTCGCAAGCCAAATGTTTTTGGTCCACTTCGCTCACAACGAACGGAACGAAAACATTGGTTTGCGAAGATGGTAAAACGCCAAGTCTACTAAAATATTTGATAGCTTTAAAAAAATCTCTGTATATTCATATGTAAAATAAATGATGCAGTCTGTCCTTCATAATTTATATGTCCTGATACCTTTTCATTCTGATTTTATTATGTTTTTGTCATTGCTATATTTTGAACTTTTGTTTATGCCATTTATGTTTTTATATCATATACTGTTCCAAAAAAAAAAAAAACCACACTGTAAAGTGTAAATGACACATTAAGACGTAAAGGTTACTTGGTAAATGATGTATTGGTAAATAAGAAATGTGGTAAACAATAGAATTTCAATGTAAGCGTAATAATTACTTAAGACTTTTACAATTATAGACAGTTCAAGGTCATTAAAGATCAATATGTGCAATATCCCCTACAATTACCAATGATTATGTAAAACGTCATCGCATGGATACAGATTAGTGTATTAAACACTGTATTACAATACTCTAAATGTAGAGCTTGGATCAGCTATTGCAAAGTATGGGGATGCTGTTGTCTTCAGCGGATATGCTTATCCATTTTGTCCAACAAATGTTCAATGGGGTTTAAAGCTGGCGATTTAGATGCCAAAGTAGGACTAGATGTTGTGGTTTTGCAAGATTGCATTTGTCAGACAAGCTGTATGTGGTTTTGTATAGTCAGATTGAAATACAGCTTCAGGATACTGCATTATTGGAAAGATATGTGCAGGTACGACATCATCAGAGTACCGTTGTGCCGTCAGATACTTTGAATATGAACCAAATCGCTCTTTCTTGTATACAATACCGTTGCTCACATCAGAACACTTACACAGACAAGTCTATCAACCTCCCAGAGGCAGTTTTCTGCAAAAACTTTCATTAAGAAGTTGTTTGACTCTCATTTTTCAATCGGACTTTACGTAAAAACCAAAATGTTGCTGTGGCCATACTTTGTTGGTCTGAGACCTCTGAAGTCGATATTGGTTGTGTTGTCGGGTCAGAACAATGACATGAATAAGTCTTCTGGCTTTAATATCAGCATACCGCTGTAAATTGCAAACGGACTTGTTTGATATTCTATGAAGTTCTATGAAGTTTATGGAACATTGATGACGATGTTATAAAGCATTGACGCGATCGTGTGTTGCTGATGTCACGCGTGGTCTGCCATAGTTTAGGCGATCATTTATTGAACAATGCTGTTAATATCTATTTTATAGGTGAGATATGGTGCTTTGTGCAACACTTAAACTTCTTGTAATTGTAAAATGTGGTACACTTGCTTCCAGTTGCCCAAATTCCATCATCAAATGTGGCATTTCTGAATATCTTCAATTTTACAAAAATACGAGACTCAAAAATAGAGAACTCAGGCTTTTGATAGACATTTTGAACATGAATGATGTGGTTTAGAAATTAATAAAAGAAAGGTGTTTTTAAAAAGTTTAAAAAACAAATATTAGCCTTTTGCAAAATTGGGTCTTTTTGTCTGTGAGTTTTGTAGACTGGCTGTCTAGTTGACAAGATCATTAAAAGTAATTAATTTTACCGGAATGAATTATATTTATCTAAACAAAAAATTGCATAACAAAACTATTTGATATTATTCGGCGTATTATTCCTATTATGCGTTTCTCTTTTTGTACGGCATATATAACTAATTTTGCTTTCACAATTTAACTATGACGACTTTTCAAACACTGTACCTCATGTACCACCGATTGTTGCTGCGATTGCGATTAATGGACTTAATTATAAAATTGGGCTATATATGACAATTATTTAATGCACACTTAATTGAAAAATTACAGGAAAATTAAATACTTGTTTTCCTGATGCCCCCATAATAAAGATTTTGACACACTTGTCATATCACAATAGCTTTCGACAGAGTTGACTAGCGCTTCTTTCAATTGATCAATGTCTAGAGAATGTTTTCAATCAAGTAATTTAGAATTTTAGAACTAGATATTGAACTTACTTCAAAAATCAAATTGAGTTTGAAATTTGATACTTTGGATATTTAAGTAAAATTCCAAAAACTCAAAATGTAAAAAAAGTGTTTTGTTATTTAAAATTTGAGTATTTGAATCAAAATTCTAAATTTCTAAAAATCTAAAACGTTTTGATTTTTAAAGTATCAAAAGAATAAATTTTAGATTGTTAAGCGTAAACTTTCTAAACAATAGATAGATGAAAACTTCAAAAGGTTAAAATAAAAAAAATCGTTTTCGGATTTTAATTTTGAATATTTAAGATAAAAAACCGTAACATTTAAAATTTTAAAAGTGTTTGTAAATTTATATTTTTGAACTAAACTATTAAATTTCAATATGCGAAATCAGTTTGACTTTTGGAAATTTAGAAAATTTGAAGTAATATATCAAAATTGTAAAACTCTATATCATAGAAATTTGAATTGTTAAGTGTAACACGGACCAATAATGTATAGACCTTGTAGAGAGTCGTAGAATGACACACTTAAACAGTAACATACTGGAAAATACAATCCCCGAAATCCCAAAATGTAAAGATATGTGCCTTGGGTTTTAACACTGTAGCCATTTAGAAAAGTGAAGGGAGCTGATCGTACCCTTTTGCTTAACTCTGTTACGTATGGATGCTGCAATGCGTAAATTTTACCCTATAGTTTGAAGGAAGACGACTTAATTTCTTTTATTCCTGAGTTTGATAAACTCTCTCCAAAAACCAGATGTGAATAGCAGATTTCCCGATTATAAAAAATCATAT